GCTCATGAAGCAAACTTACATTATGTGTGATAAAACTCCTCTCATACTTTGTAGAAATCACCCCTGCTGGTGAGTCACCTCACGATGAGGTTCATCTTGAAGATGAAAATCCTAGCAATGAACTCGTATTTATAAAACTAGGAATATGAGCGGCAATGGATCTATCGTTAGGAAAATAATGAAGATCATTATTTTGTTTAAAGTTAGAAAATGTGTCGATAGTTGTTTGCCTCTATAATTGCTAAATGGGTCTCTTAATGAGAACCCAGATTCAGAACAAAGTCCATGGCAAGAGTGCTTGAAGCTCTCATATCGGGTTAAATGAAACATGCAATTGAGGCCGAACCAAAAATCGCTAAGTGAATATCTCGAACCTGATGTTCGAATAATTATGGGTCAATGTTGAATAATGGGTGGTGAAAAACGATGGTTCAAAAGGTCCTAATAGAGACCGTTTCCGGCATAAGTTCTACAAAATATGTTCCACTATATAATGAATATGGCTAATGGAATGAATCAAAATATGAAGTTATTGGATTCTGAAAATCCATGAAGAGCAATATCAAAATCTCATACCAATATTGTCTTTAAGAGAAATGATCTCCCCATAAATATAACAACTCCTTGAAGGATTTTTCTTCAAGGAATATATGGTTATAAGTCTGAATGCACCAAAATAAGTGAATTCCTTGGAAGGAATAAAAAGACCCATATAAGACCCGAGAGATAAAAATGAAAAGAGGAACTGAAAGGAACAAAGGTTTACCATATAAGCACATGCACATTTCATGAGTTTTTACTATGGGTGTATATATACTTGTGATATAATGTGTTCTCCACCTGAAGATTTGGAATTGAAGTATCCTCTGAAAACTGATATGATATATTTGGTGTTACTAGCAATATTTTCCCCATTACGCTAGAAATACAGACTTGTAATGCCTTATTTTGTATTAAAGATTCTCGAAGAATATGTAATCAATCCTAGAAGGAGTCACGACTATTATGAATCGTGAAAATTATAATGATATAAAGAATAATGATTATTAATCACATCTCAAAGATGTGTGTCATTGCAACTTTGAAGTGTACAAATATATGCATCCTAATGTATGAATGCTAGAATATAATAAGTTCCTCTGCATTATTCTCTATCTCAATGTTCTTGAAGAATAGCGAGACAAATGTCATGAAGACTAAATATTGTGAAAATCTTGTAATCTCACTTGCATTATTCATGTCTATATTTATTTCCAAATAATGGTTAATGTCATGGGAGTGAATGACTTTAACAAATGTTAGCATCAGGAGGAGTATTTACAAGATATTGGTTGTCATTCATGAGACTTTGAAAGTCTTAAATAATGCCTAGAAGGTGTTATTTTAATGGTGACTTACTAACCTCTATTGAAGGCTCTATCATGACACCATTTATAAAAATGGGTTTATTGTTTATGTACGCTTCATATTTTTACCTCACGAGTTCTAGAAGTAAGATGAGGCTAAGATTATGAAATAATTCTTATAATGTATGCGATATACTTGTTAAATCTCTATGTGCATATACTTCCTGTAGAAAGCGTTCTTAGCATAGTGGGATAGTTCTGCAAGGTTTAGGTGGAGAACTTCCCTAGAATATTAACCCTTGATCAGGATTCAAGAGAATTTAAAATGATATGATACAGAAGTTCACAATTTGTCCTGAAGACATATGTTGCACTCTTTTTTCCTTGATGAGTTTTTTTGAAGTTTCTCATATAAGGTTTTTAATGAGGCAACAATGTGAAAATGCATTAAGCGACAATAATGTACTCTTACTCCTTATTTTTCCCATTAGGTTTTTTGAGTTTTAATGAGGCATGTATTTGTCATGGTATTCGCCCAAGGGGGAGTGTTAAGAATTCTTCAATTAGAGGATTGATGGGCTCATACTATATACGTCCTGATGGACTTTTACCATATATGCCTCGGTGGCTACCATATATGCCCTGAAGGCATCTATATAAAGGGACTACATGTACGTCTATATTGATTAATGAAGAGATGCTCCCCTCATATACTTGTCTCCTGTCTATTCTTGTGTGTTGTTCTTGAGGATGGGAGAGGGAGACGGGATCTATCTATAACTTCTACGCGCCTCTTTCTTGGGATCGGGAACGGGAAACGGATCTACCAATCCGTAAATAGGCTGATTCTCAACAAATCTACCAACATATGGGATATTATGAAAAAATAAAGTTACAACATATTTATGAGTAAATACTTTTGTGCCTTATAATGGGAGAGAAAATTTCTATCAAAGAAGTTTTTTTTTATTTCAATACAGATTTGATAGTACATTCATATATTACCAATACTAACTTATATTAGAGAGTCATCAGAAAATAAATTACAGTTTTTAAATTTTATATTAAGAGTAAAACATAAATAGTTATGTATCATTCTCATCTCATTATCTATGAATATTTGATATCTTTTTTTCTTATGTTGCAACAAAGTATATAAAAAACAAAGGGGCTAAGTGTTCGAGCACGCCGTACACGGAACTAGTATTTCTTCGTGGGCCGAAACTCCACATCTCCCTATGACCCTATCAACGAAGCTAGGCCCACGGCCTGGCCCAACCACGCTCACCTCCTCAGCGTGGGCAGCAGCAAAATTTTCGCCGGGCTTTCCAAAATCGAAGCGCCCCTGTCCCGAAAATTTCAACATAAGCACTGCCGTCACCACACTCTTTCCTCTCTCCCATCGAGCATGAGGTCATGCTCATTCTAGTCATCTTCTCGCACTCGATTCCCCACTCTCCTATTCTTCCTCATCGCCCTCGGCAACAGCAGGATCGTCGGTAGGATGAGTGTAGCACGCGGCATGGCGGCACGCGCGAAGCATGGCAACGTGGATGCGGCGCCGTACCGATGATACAACATAGGTAGGCGAGGGTTAGCATGGCAAGTATGGTGCATCGCTACGTGGCTACGCGGCAATGCGGGTAAGACTGGCATGTGAAGTGTGCGCGGTGGTGATGACGGTGGTGCGTGGTTGGATGAACCATAATGGTATGTAAATGTTTAGGAACATGAGCTTGCAATTTGTAAGTACCAGAATCGAGACGAGGGCTCTAGACAAGTTTAGTGAGCTGAATGTATAATTTAAAAATATCGAGATGTAGATAAGAAATCGAGACAAGTTTGAGGACCGCTACTCTTTCTAGAGCTAGTGAAATTTACTAAAATAAGTATACATCTCACTTATTGAGGAGTCAAACCTTTTTTAAGTTTGACCAAATATATAAATACACAAAAATACTAATATTTGTGATGTATAATAAACATAATTTATTTAAAGATACAAGTATTAATACTATCTTTATATAAGTTTGACTTCTCAAAAAAACGTAATGAGCATTTATTTTGGATGGAGAGATTATGCGTGGTGGACTTATGGTAGAATCGGACGTGCGGCACCCAAGTCTGACCGATGATCTTCACGCCGTGATGGTTCTGGCACGAAAAAAACAAACATGGAGGATACGTGTCAGCGAGGTATAGGATGTCGCACGTCACAGCATTTTTTTTAAGTAAGTTAGGCATATACGGAGTATTTCTCATTTCTCATTTCAAGATGTTTACATCATGGAACACAGGAGGGGAACCAAGCCAAACATGCCGGCCAGCTCCAAGTGAACATGCATACTTTGCAAGATAACGAGCCTCCCTATTAAACTCCCTACCATCATATGTGAAGCGCACAAAATCAAAAGATTTAGATGTCTGATAGATATCTCGAAGGATCGTCCTATAAGCGCAACGGGGCATCTCCACAGTTCTCTGCAGCTCGTGCGACGGTTACAGCCTGCGCGGCGCAGTCGCTTGGGCCCTAAAAGAAACACTACCAAATGAAGCCCGGCCCACAAGCGCCCACGGCCTGGCCCGGACACCCTCACCTCCTCAGCGCGGGCAGCAGCAAAATTTCCGCCGGGCTTTCGAAAATCGAAGCGCCCCCGTCCCGAAAATTTCGACTCGGGTCGGGTCGGGTCCCCGCAAATCCACCCACCCGCCGTGTCCCTGCGTGCCTCTGCTCCGTTCCCTTCCCTCCACGCCGCCCGGCCGGCCCGCCCCGAGGAAACCAAACCAGCACCCGCACCGCACCGCACGCAAGCGGCGCGACTCCGCCTTTTCAAATACCGCCTTCCACAGTCCCACTTCCTTCCCAGTTTCCCCCTCCTCCCTCTCCTCGCCACCTAATCCGCCCGTCGCCCCCGCTTCCGGAAGCTTCCAGAAGGTCGCCGGTCGGAGGGACGGGCTACACGGGGGCCATCTCCCGGTAGCTTCAGTCGCCCGCCGCGCCGCCGCCAGGTCAGTCAGCGCCGTCCGGGCCTCGTCGCACGCGCCCATCTCTTACTCTTACTCCCCCGTGGCTGTCGGCCCCCCACCCTCATCGCCACCGCCGGCCCCGATCCGCCGCCGCCGCCTCCCGCCTCCCCCGCCCCCCCCACACCGCCCCGCCCCGCCGCTCGCCTCTTCCTCCTACTGTAGCAGCCAGCCTCCAAACCCTAGCTTCACTCCCGTGTCCCTAGCCCCGTGGCGGCGGGTGGAGCCCTCGCCGCCGCGCTGCTGGGCCGTCGGATCGGGGAGTTTGTCGACTTGATTGCAATTGCTGAACGAGGCAAATGCGCATTCATCTCCTCAACGCCGCACACGCTTGATTGATTTCGGCCCCTGATTTGGCGTAAGCGTGTTTGTGTGATGTAAGAGGATTCAGATCTAATGCGCACGCCATTCCATGCCATTGCTGCCGAAAGCTAAATTTCTGTGTGGGGTTTATCATCCGTGTGCCTTGTCTTTCCAGATGAGTTAATATACAATGACAAGCAAGTGAAATAATGTCCTTGTTTATGGGTTTTTTCCTTTTTTGTTCTGTGTTGGTGTAGGCTGAGTGGAAGGTAGGGGAAGGCGAGGAGCCAGAGGGCGGGATGCGGAGGTAGAGGACTGGACGCTACAATGGCGCAAGCCGCTGTTGAGTCTGCTCTGAATGGTGACTCTTTGATTGGGAGGCAGCCAGCGGTTCCGAGGATGAAGAGGAAGACACCGTCCGAACTGAGAGTAATGACGCCTCTCTTCCCTTCAAATTTTAAGTTCAGAATGATTACTGTCTTGCCACTGGGAATGTGCAGTAGGATGAAATCCTTGGTCAGATGCAGATGCCGTCTCAACATATTCCTTGACAGATGGCTAATTGGCTATATCACATCTTATTCAGCTGTTCATAACATTCCACACCTGTTAACAATCTATGAGTTTAATGTGATGAAAATGATCTACCTAGTATGAACTTAAGTCCAATCCATGTTGCAATGCGATGCTTTCTGTTTTATTTTGCCCCAATGTTAATCAATTAGCTCTGTTTTCACATTGCCCCTGCCTAGTTCAAAAACCTGCTTAACCACTGGCCACTGTGATTTGAACACATTCTGATGTAAGTATTGCATGTCACAGAGTTGCATATTAACAGTGGAAACATTCACATGCTGTTGTGATTATCATATATGGATGGATGCACACTGAAGCTGAAATATCTTAGCATCGTATACTTATTAGAGTAAAATTCGTCACTTGATATTTTTTTAGGTTCAAAGAATGCTTTCCACTGTTTTTGCCCCAATGTTAGTGGATTAGCTTTATTATTTCACATTGACCTAGCCTATTAGTTCAAAGATGTCCACAGTATACAAGCACATAGCTTGCACCATTTAACTGATATCCATCTTTGTTGATTTTTAGGGTAGTTTTTTTAGAAGCCTGAAATAAACACTGCTGCTTGAACACATGCTGATGTAAGCATCACATATCACATAGTTGCAGATGAGCATTGAACATATTCACATCCTGTTATAAGCTTCATGTATATATGGACTCAATAACACTAGGAAGAGCTTGCAATGTTTTCCAATCATAGCATTCCACAAAATGCAGATAAACACTAAAAATGTCAATAATTATTTGTTGCAGGGTGAACAACTGAAGCGGCATACGTCTGAAAAGCTTGCTAATGATCTGTTACCTTCTTCTGCTGCATTAGATAGGTAGCTTTCTTAACCTTGTCATGTTCCTCTTGTGCTCTTTTTTTTTCCTATGTGACTATTATCTTGTATTGTAGGTCAAACAATGGACTTAGGAACACAGAACAACAAAAGATATCCAAGTACATTAACACACGTGTTACAGAGGTGTTCCCTGTGAGAAAAACAAGAAACCTTGGGAAGGAAAATTGCAAGGTTAGAGTTAGAGGTTTTTATCCATTTTGTTGAACTCATTGACGCTTAGTCAGTCTTTTATGAAGTTGGATATTTGGTTCAATGGTTTGGTGCTAAGTGTAAAATACCCTGCAGGATGCCTTACAGAATAATGAGAAGGTTTCTAAGTCTGTTGATGCTACAACGGCCTCAAATTTTGCATCATCTTCACTTCCATGGTAATGATCTGACTGCAGAACTTTAGTTTCAAGCTTTTCATTTGTTTGAGCTCTTATTCGGCTTGTTTCTCATAATTCAGTGGTCATGACGACTCTGCTAAGTTGGACTCTTTTGTTCCATCCATGGAGGCTGCAAAGCCAGGCTTCAAGAAAGTTGAGAAATGCAGTGAAAACGCTCTGCGGAGTGTATCTGAGCTTCATGTTGGCGATGAGAAGCAGACTGGTTCTAGCAAATTTGATATGGTAATAGTCATTCTTCCTCTTGCAATTGATCATATGTTATAATGCTAGCTAATATTTCTAATGCTTTATTTTAGGAAAAAGTACTGAAAGGGTTTGGAGCTCGTGATGCTTTTGTGGCTTCTGGGCTCAATGCCCCTAATGGACAAGTTGGTGGTACTGCGTTGAAGTCTTCAGACATATTCCCGTCTAAGATCACCATTCCAGGGAAAAAAACTCCCCTGGATTTTACCTTAAAGACTAGTTTGCAGTTTGTTTCATCATCATCTGTGAAGTGGTGGGTGTGCACTAGCTTCTCTTGCTCTTCTGTATTGAAATTTTGCCAGTTAGAAACTGTATTAACATGGTGTCTATGTTGCTTGAACCTATAACATTTCCTCAGTTGGCATTCTTAAAACTATATTTGACCACATGCCAGTTATAACCTTTTTGAACGCTATACTGATTTGCAAAGTACTGATAGTCATAGCTTGTACTGCTTGTAACAGGTGTCACAAGCTCAATACAAGTTATGGCAGAAGCAGCATCACTGGAGCCATTGGTCAGATCTGTCCTCGCGGGTGTCAAAATTCAGAGTGCCCAAAGCCTGAGAGCAATAAGGAATTCTTGTTCTCAAAGGCTCTACAATCATGGGTATATCCACAATCGCAGTTGCCTTCCTCTATCATATCTGCTATGCTCTCATCAACTGTACGAGGAGGTAATCACTAAACCTTAATTGCTCCTTTCTGTGAATGTAATTCCATAAAAGTGATACTCTTTGCCTTGTAGAAAGTGATTTTCTTCTCAAAAGACATCAGGACTGGGAAGATTCATTTCAGAATCTTTACTACATGCTCCGGAAGAACATGTTGAATATATTCTATGGTACCTTACTTCACAGAGCTCATATTATTTGCACAAAGGGCAGTGTCACGTTCTTTTCGTAACAAAAAGAAGTAGCTCATCATAAAAATACCTATAACCTGACATTTACCTATGGTAAGCACTAAGCAGGTTACTACATTTCATTTTTCTACATGCTGAAGAGTAGCATTTGCACCTGTACTTCTATAAACAATGTTATTTCTTGTGCCTTACACTTTATTCAAAACATAAAAGAGAGCACATAGTGATACATTTTACTCAAGGTCATCTTCATATGTGGTTCCATTTTGTGTTCCTTGTCAGTTCTGAATTTTTGTTATTCTATATCACATTATTATTCTGTCTAACCTCATCAACAACACTGACTGAACATTACTTTGTTGTTACAGTTTATACAACACAATTTGTTGCTCTCTTCATTGGTGGAAGCTGTTTGGAGAAAAAACAGTCCAGTAGCGCCTACTTATCACTATCTACACGTGGCCTACGCTCATTACTACGTAAACATGTGAGTTCATTCTGATTTATTTCTGTCAGTAATATTTCTACAGCATTAGTTTTTGATGCTTCACATTTTACATATTCCTTGACACTATAGTTTCTTATTAACCATCAAGACACTGCATGTTTTACTAGCAATCATGGTTTTTGAGGCGTCACCTAGCCGTCGCCTAGGCGTACCACCAGCGCCACAGGACGTGGCAATGCCTCAAACCATGCTAGCAAATGATATTGATGTGGAGTCGATACATGTGGGCCATTTTTTCAATTGCCAACTATATTTGTTGGATGAAATCATTTGTCTACCATTGCCTGGTATCATAATGGGACTGATACAATTCAAGCTTATCTAACTTTTTTTTTTTGCTCTATACCACTTTAAATCTTTTTATCTGCATGGATCATCATTGTAACCACATCAGTTTGCACTGTTGCAGGGTGTTTGCTTTTCTATGCCTCTTTGCAACACTGAAGTGGAGCAGGCTACTGAAGATGACCTTATTGAACTTTCAGAAATCCAAAGGCGCAATCTTGGACAGGTTTTGGTTTCCTTCCAGTTTTCCCTGTTTTGCTTTAGTTACTCTGCAGGTACCTACTTGATATAAAAACAAAGATAATTGAACCTGCAGGCACTCCATTTGGATGCTTTATCTGATGTGGACAACACCACGCAGTCACTGCTTTCATTTACTGGCAATGGGAATGTTCATGGCTTATACGATGTTCTGTTGAATTACAAGTACGGTGCATCTCATTATTTTGTCATCCCATTCTTGTTTGCCTCGAAAATTCTGTTGTATAACGTGATCTTGTGATTCTTCAGGTCCTTGCTAAGTTCTTTATCTGCTGTGGACGTCCCAGTCTTATATTCACCCCAGCCATTTCAAAATGGCTGCCTACATATTCCAGAGGTCAATTTTCAATTCTCTTTATATTTTTTGTTGTGCCTGCCTCTTTAGTTCCTTTTTGTTATTAGACTAGAAAACTTTGTGACTTCAACTCTTCTATTTACGAAGAAAGAGAACCATGTTAATGTGACCTTTGTTAGAAATGCAAACTGATGCATGCGGGAGCTCAGCCCTTATTGCAAATGCCTAATTGAATTTGAAGCTGCCATATCATGCTTTAAATGTTTTGATTCTGTATTAGTGCAGTGGAAAGAGCACATTGAACTGTGTATCAGCCTTTAGACTGAATTGTGTATTTGCAAAGTTTGATTTGAAAAAAAATCTGATCCTCTGAATCTATGCATCTCTCAGGTGAAGTGCAGGGAGATGAGGAGAGCAGACATGGGGCTGCTCTCATCCGGCGGGTTCGACACAGAACAGGGGTCAGCATTTGCCTCAACGACAGGCAACATCTGCTACAGCATGGAAGTAAAGGACACGGTTCTCCCGCCATGGGTCGTCTCTGGACTCTGCGCCGCGATGAGCCTGGACGCGACCAGCTTTGATCTAACGTACGCACAAGGATACTGTATCTCTCCCATTCGACATCGCGTGCTTAACTCTAGTTTTGTGCTGAGCTTTCTTCGTTGGTTCTCACAGGATCGCTACGGAGCCTTCGTCGATGGGCTTGAACGTGGCCCTCAACTCCATGGGCACCACCACGAATGCCCAGCCTGAAGGAGCGCCCCCTTCGAACGGCTGTGCGCCTGCGCCTTTGGTGGGTGGCATTCCTCACGCTGTCCTTGTCCCCTCCCTGCACTCCGCCTCGGTGCGGCGCCTCAGCTACACCGACGGCGGGTACGTTGCGCACACAACCGTGTGAGCTCAGCTTGAGGTGGCCTCGGTTCCTGCCCCCGAGCGCAGCAGCCTCTTTTGCTGCTCGTCTGGCAGTCGGGTGGGTGGGAGGAGGGTTCTTCTGGCGTCTGTGCGGTCGGGCCCCCACGACGACAAAAAGAAGCCTAGGGAGTCCTGCATCTCCCAGCGCTGGCTGCGTATCATGTGCCGGTTGTTCTTGTAATTTTGGAGCCTGCCCTCGGCTTTGTCGTACACGGACGTGTCGTTACACGCTTGGTTGGATGGTAACTAAATTATGAGGCCAGCCTTCTGGTGGTCTGGAAAAGGGAACAATTCTACTTGTGCATCCATCAATATTCACCTGTGCTTGGTGTTTTATTTTCATCTCTTGTGCTTGGCCGTTGTACTGTCGTTTAAAGTTTGTTCCTTTTCAACGTTGCTTTTATAGTACTGTTTGTGTGGGCTGCAACTGCAAGGCTGGCAGTCAAGGGCTAAGCAAGCCTGCTGTTTGAATTTCGATGGCAACGTTCGTTCTGCGATGGACAGCGGACGGTTTCTTCTTTATTTGCTGTTTGAATTTCAAGGGCTAGCTATGTTCGCTTGACTTATAAGCCGTACTTTTTCAGCAACGAACAGTATTTTTCTTTAACAACAAATCAACCAACAGTATTTTCAGTCATGACTTATCAGTCAAGTGAACAGGTCATAGCATTTGCCGTCTGCTGCCCACTTTACTTGCTGGACAGTGTAATGGACACACAGAATCCACCTTACCAGTCCAGCAACCTGAGCCAGGACCAACCGTCCAACCACAGTTGACGAACGGAACGGCAGAGACTGAGCCGACGCTCGTGCTCCCAAAACTGCCGATCGAATTTGTTTTCCCGCCGTTTCTCATCGCCACAAAAATGGGCGGGAAATGTTATTATATTACACTCGTAATAATAATACAAAATCACAGGGCAGGGCAGGGCAGGGAAAATAAAACGAAACCGGATGAGGAAGAGTCTCCCGGTCCCATTCCCAGGTAGTCCACCAACCATCGCCTCTCCCGAGATATCATCAACGCGAGTGCCTGTCGCATGATCCCGAGACAGGAGATTAGCGCGAGCCCCGAGGCAGCAAGTCTTCTCCAGGCGGGCCCCGCACACCCCCGTCTCTCCCTCCAGGGCTGCCGCTCAGCGCTCAGCTCCCCCGCAACGCGACAAATGTGCGAAACGGCAAATTGGCAAAAGCTTCTTCTACTACTGCCCGAGGAGGCTCTGCTGCTGCTGCTAGCAAAAAGCTTCGTCCTTTCCTCTCGCCCGCTCATTCCACGTTCGTTCCTCCCACACCCATTCCCTCCTCACTACTTTTCGCGTTGCGCTCGGCGGCCCATGACCATGAGCGCCTGCGGCGGCGGCGACGGCGGCGGCGTCGGGGGCATCAGCCCCGCGTCGCGCTTCCTGCGCCGCCGCGCCGCCGTGCGGGACCTGGGCGGGGACGTGGCCGGCGACCCCGACTCCGACGCTTTCTGGGCCGCCGCGCCCCTCCTCTACGACTTCTCCCAGCAGCAGCCCACGCCCCAGCAGCCCGCGCGGCGATCGCCCTCGCCGGCGCCGACCAGCCCGTGCCTCCTCGCCCGGAAGCGGCACAAGGAGCGGTCCCCGTCGCCGCCTCCGGCCCCGCGGCGCTCGCCCGCGTCGGGCGGGACGACGACGACCTGCCTGCTCTCCGCCCTGCACCGCACCTGCGTGGGCTGGGGCGTCACGAGGCGGGCCGAGTACCCCAGCCGGTACCGCCCGGCTTCTCCCACCGCTTCTGGACTCGGGATGCGCGTGCACCAGCTGGCGGCGGCTCGGTGCGTGGGCGAGGACGAGGAGAGCACCAGCGGCGCCGTCAAGAGGAGCAAGTACCTCGGGGTGGTGGTGGGCAAGAACGAGCAGCAGGAGGAGGAGCAGGTGGCGCCGGCGGTTGGTCAAGATCAAGAGAGCGGCCGTGAGGAGGAGGAGGACAATCCCGTGGTGGACAAGGCGAGGAAGGCGAGGAGCAGGAAGAGGGCGAGGTGGAGCCGCCGGCGCCGCGGCGCCGCCAGGCGCGCCAAGAAGGCCCCGCGCGTCGTCAAGGAGGAGCAGGAGGAGACGTCAGGCGAGGCGTCGGCGGAAGAGGACGTCAAGCCTGCGGTGGCGGTGAAGGCGGAGGAGGAGCCGAGGGAGGGGAGGAAGAGGGCGGCGGCCACGGCGAGTGCGCGTGCCCACGTCGCCGCCAAGCGCGGCAAGAGGACGACCCCTCCGAAGCAGGAGGAGGAGAAGGGGGAGGTGGCAGCGGTGGCGGCGGCTGAGAGCAAGCCCGCCACCGCCACTCCTGACCCGGCTCGCCGCGCGGCAAGGTGGACCGGTGGTCGGCGTGGCGGTACGCGGCGGGCGAGGCGACGCTCGTCGACATCCTGCGCGAGCGCGGCGCCACTGCCGGCAACCCCGCGCCGCGCGCCGACCTGCGGGCGCAGGCGCGCCGCCACATCGGCGACACCGGCCTCCTCGACCACCTCCTCCGCCACGTCGCCGACAAGGTCCCCGCCGGCAGCGCCGACCGGGTCCGCCGCCGGTATAACCCGGCCGGCGGCCTGGAGTACTGGCTCGAGCCGGCCGGACTGGCGGCCGTGCGGCGGGAGGCCGGCGTCGATGACCCGTACTGGGTGCCGCCGCCCGGGTGGAAGCCCGGAGACCCCGTGTCGCCTGAGGCCCGCACGCTCCAGGTGCAGAAGCAGGTGGAGGAGCTCACCGGCGAGCTTGCCGTCGTAAAGAGGTCTCCTTTCTCGTCTTCTACTTGTAGTCTCATGGATTGCTGCTCCTTCTTGCAGCTATGATGAATGTCGATGATACTCTGATTAGATTCTTGAACGCAGCAAGTACTGATAGTTGTTTCTTTGCTGAAATTGACTTGTGATTTCCATGAACTGAAGGCAAATGAAGCAGCTCGACTCCAATCTGGTGCAAGTGAGCAAGGAAGCCTACATCTCATGGAAGGTGATCACACATCATACCTTGTTGATATGAATCTCATTCCTGTCTTTCACTGTTCAGATTTTCGGTAAACTTCTAGTGCAGAACTGAAAACAGGGTATCCATGTGTGACACTCTCACACATAGTTGTGCCTGTGCTCTGCTCTTGTAAATTGTAATGTTGTACACGTGTCTAGTTCTGGCTGGATGTTGGTGTTTGATTTCAGATGTTGTTAGCTACATTTGTACTGTGCATAAAAATTGGTAGAACAGCAGCATATTTTGCTTAGCTTTGCTCCACTTGTTACTGTCACCTCTCTGAAGTTGTGAATCTGTCATTTATGTGCTTTACTTGTCACATTGCTTCATCGTGCTTAAAGTCGACCTTTTAATCTGCAATTCTGTACACACACTGGAACTACACTCATGCCAATATAATGTTAAACTGCATGTCTGTTTCCATTAGTACTTAAAGAATTTGATGAAGAATCAAAAGTTCATAGTTTTTGTTCATTGTAGCATTTTAATCTAGATAGGTAGCTACCCTCATTGGTCTAAATATGTTCATGAATCATGATCTTAATGGCAGGGGTATGACTGTATGGTGAAGGCTAATGGCAAGCTGGAAAAAGAGGTGCTGTCCTTGGAGGTATGCTTCACCTTACTGCTTCCTAAGTTGTTAATCTAATTTGATGCAAGATTTATATTTCTGATCCCATTACTTATTCAGTGTACCCCAACTTGCTTGGGAGTAAGAGGTTTGTTGTTGTTGAATCCATTAATTATTTGCTAGCTTAATTCGGTGATGGCCATGACTTATTGTGGGTTCTCATTTTCAGGAGAAGTATGAGAATGCGGCACAGGTGAATGGGGAGCTGAAAGAGCTGCTGCTGTTACTGAAGGTACATCACTACATTCAATCAATCTTCACAATTTGCACCTCAGCAAAGTTACGTATCTTTCTGGTAACATGTGGTACCTTTGTATGATGAAGTATTGATCTGAAGCTCTGGATCTGTTTTCCAGGATAAGTATGATACTGTGCTTGAGAAGAATGAGAAACTGGAGGGCCAGATGGTTGCTCTGTCCACTTCTTTCCAGTCCATGAAGGTACACTCACTATTTATTTAATGCAATTGAACTGCACAGATATTTGGCGGACTGCTGCTCTGTAGTTTCTTTGTTTTGCCTCACTTTGAGACGTGCCTCATTGTGTATTTAGCAGTAGCAACCATCAGTGTACTGATAGAACATTGCTTGTGCATTGGACTGTATGTGCAGGAAGAGTTGCTCCTGCAGAGAATTGAAGAACAACCTCTTCTGATGCTAGCGCAAGAGCCTTGGGATGGTGACAAGCAAGAAGCCGGTGCGAACAATGCTTTGGTGTGTGCAGGCAACCAGCTGACTGATGCTGATGCCGTCGATGGCAGCTTCAGCAGCGATCACAGTGCCTGTGATGACGAGAAGATGGCGCTGAGGAAGGGTATCTGCATGCGGGAGGGAGCATGCCAGTGGCCTAGGTCTGCTGCTTCCGGTGGCAAGGCCGGCAGCCCTGGGGACCTGCCAGAGCCGCTGACTCCCGGCGCGGATCTGGTCATCGCCGACTTCGACACCATGATCAATAACCTCGCGCCACCGTCCATGGAGGAATACCTGCTGGCCGATGGTCTCCCCACGCCGACGTCGGCCTCGTCCACCAATGCCTCTCCCAAGCTCCAGCTTCTCCCCTCACCGGCCTCGCCAATCCAGGTCCAGCCTCTGCCGTCAACAACCATGGTCATGGGTGACCTCAACCTGCAGCTCCGGCACACGGTGAGCTAGTCTATTCCTCCTTAGTGCCCTGCTTCCTGTCCCTGCCCCCCCAAATAAAAATGTGTCTCGACAATTGACATCTCTAGGTCGTGCCACCAATGAACAGTGCACACACATGACCGTGAAGATGACTGACCTCTGCCTGGCCATTGTTACAGCCACAGGACATGTCGTCTACGTCATCAGGACCGTGCGGTGCCAAGGCGCTGAATCTCGACGCAGGAGCTGGAGGTGGCGAGGTTGGCACTGAGCTGGTCCTGGCGACCCCCACCTACTGATCCGACGCTGACGAGCTCCGATGAATGGACAGATGACCACTGAAGTTTTTGCCTCGCCGTCATTATATTAACCCATCTCACATCTCAGAACATAGCACACAGGACAGGACAGGATAGCTGCAGAAAGACAGAAGAACACCCGAGCCGAGAAGATAGATTACCTACCCCTTCTTTACCTTTGCTGAACTAGGCCATGCATTATGCTGATTCTTCTCCTTTAATTGTCAGTCAGTAGTTGTCACTAGTTTCAGTTGGAACTTAGTTGCAGGTGGGTTTTACTTACAGCTGAGCACCAAGCTGCTGCTGCTTAATTCCTACAGTAGTTTGTACTTATGGTTGGAGAAATGGTCTGCCACTCTGTTGAAGTCAAATGCTCACCAGGAGCATGCATCAGAGACAAGGATGTTTTGATCTCGTGATGAATTGCACAGACTGCTTATAGATTAGCGTATTCAGGAGTGTTTTTTTTTCGAATGCTATTTGTTACTGTTTAATTACATTTGCCACGATAACATCACCCAGCGGTGGTCCATGTCCATCGAGTCGAGCAGCTTTCTTGTACTGCACGCGCTCGGCGTGGTGAGGCTTGCCGTACTCGTCGAGCATGCATGACGCATGACGCTGAGCGAGCCCTTGCCCTGAGGCAACCTCCAGGACAGCGCGGCACGGAGGAGGTTCTGTCCCCTCGCAAATACCGAATTTTTTACATTTTAGCCCTTTTTTTTTTTAAAAGTTTCTCACAAATAGACCACTGGTGGAAAGAATTCAGAAAATGAACCCTTAGCTCGGCGCCATTGATGCTGGCGCCGAGCTAACACGTCTCGACGCCAGCGTCCCTGGCGCCGAGCTCCTGGGCTCGGTAGATGACATGGCAGGGAGCTCGGCGCCAGTCACTCTGGCGCCGAGCCTTTATTACCTATGGGCCCCGCGCCTCTCTTCCTCTCCCTCTCTCGCCCTAGCAGAGCATAGCCGAGCTTCGCCGTCGCCGCCGCCCGCGCCCACGCCTCCACCGGCCGCCCTCGCCCGCGCCCGCGCCCTTGCCCTTGCCCGCGCCCACGCCACCGCCGTGCCACCGCGCCCGCGCCCCGAGCCCGCCGAGCGCCACCGCGGACGGCCCGCGCCGCCCCCCGTGCCCCACGACCGATGCGCCTCGGCGTGCAGGAGCGCCGCACCCCGCGGCCGCGCCGCACCCCCCCCCGCGCATAATGAAAACAATCACATAATGAAAAGTTCAATACTATGCCACATTAAACAACATAATAATACTAGAAGTACGTGCCGACAGTACACATAGGGGCAAATGCACTTTCAAATCCTCGGTCTGAAACATACTGAGTAAGCAACTCATCATCCGAGTATGAGTCCTCTACTACAACCCTGTTGCTGTGGCTAGGCTCACATGCGTTGCTTTGACCTGCATGTCGCCTATAGTAAGCGGCCTCCGCTTCATCTGCGGCCACTGTGGCCTAAGTGAAGAACGCGTCGTCATCCTCCTCCGCCTGTAAGCCCGTCTCTGCTAGACCGATGAGCTCGCTCAGTCTGCCAGTGTCTTCCTCAGCCTCCTCCGCCTGCAAGCCCGCCTTTGCTAGAGCGATGAGCTCGCTCAATCTGCCAGTATCGTCCTCAGCCTCCTATGCCTGCAAGCCCGCCTCTGCTAAAGCAATGAGCTCACTCAGTCTGCCAGTATCGTCCTCATCCTCGTCCCCCTCATCAGACAACACAATCGGTGATTGAACGGTGCGACCAACTCGCGATCTATGCTCATTTAACTTCTTCTCCTCATACCTTGCACGAGCCAGCTCTGTGGCATGTTCCTTGCTGCAACCAATCCCTTCATGTATGTAATACAATCAGTTAACAACATGATTATATTACATTTAAAATCGGACAACGAAAAAAATGCTTTCAAGCACTCACTGGCACATAATGCAACATGCTCGTTCAAGACCTACATCTGTACTCTTGTCTCCTCCCTTGCCTCATTCCTTGCCCTCTCCTCCTCTAACGTCATCTGTCTCTCCAATCCCCATTTGTTAAGCCCAACATCAATCGGGTTACAAATACCGCGTTGTCTAGCAAACTCACGCATCTTTTCTTTGTGATGTTTAACGAACAGGTTGACGTAGTCAGGTCCATATCCCCTCTTTCGTGCAATTACTTGCCTCTTCTTCAGTTCATCCAAGAACTTAGCTTGACCATCATAACATTCCCACCTGCATTTCCTAGTGCTCTGTTCAAACGGAAAATTATATCATATATGTCTTAGCAAAAGAAACAAAATACGATTTCATGTTTACCACAAAAATAACCAACCTCATCATACTCAACCATATGGCCACAATAATGGCCTATTCCAAGCTCCGAAGGGGCTAGGCCATAGTTGGATTTAACACCACATTCGCACATGACAGGAGGTGCTTTGTAAATTACCCTTTCTTTCTTCTTTTCCTTTACCTTTCGCGGTTCTTCCGGCCATTGGTTCTTAGGACCATACAACCACTCCTTGAAACGACACTTCGCCATTGAAAACACCTAAATAAGTCGACATTAGTACATGAACACATATAGCTCAACATTTTAACACATACACTTTGCACTTACTTCATGCTTGTTTGGACACACAAACTCCAACGTATTCTCAGGGTTTATCACAGCTCGATCTCCACAATCGCACAGAGGAGGTTCCTCGAGTCGTCTAACTGCGGCTAGGTGCTTCTCCTTAGCCGTCATTGGCGGAGGGTTAGGGGGGTGGAACCCACCGCTTGAAGTGCTCACGTGGATGTCTTCCTCTAAACCAATCGTCGAAAAGGAGGTACCTGGGATCAAACTTGTCTGCACCGTCGATCCACTGAAAGAAAAAGCACCTCTCATGGTCCTACACAACGAGATTCCAACAAAATATTAGTAGCATACTTACACAAATAAAGAAAAAGGATAGTGTAAATAATTTCTTACATTAAAACGACTGCATGTGTAGAAGCAACGCGCCGCTGTGTTCGGATGTTTTGATTGAAAAACATGGGCCAGGAAACCACAGTCACAGTTAGGGACAGGGAGGTCAGGAGGGACGGGGGCATCTTTGCTAGACGCGTCGGGGTATAATTCTCGAGAACGACCCCGTTTTCGCCAAAACTCCTCCCGAAACATTTCTTGCATCTAACAAAACGGATGTAATTTAACAAACATAAATCAAAACATCACAAATAAATATCAGTGAGAACCATAACTACAATACAACCAATTTCGTTCTAAGAACCGAAAGCAGTTAATATTAAACCCTAAACCTAGGATTTCCCATTTGATGCACAACAATGAACCCATAACATAACTACATGCGCCTAGGTTTGCTAGCTTTTCCATGCCTTGGCATCATCCTATGGTTGTATAATACATATATTGAGGGATAGAATGAAACCCTAAGTGATGACGATTATCACGTTCAAAAATCCGACTAATATATACCTAATCGATGCGAAAAAAAACTAGGAGGGAAGAGAGGATACCTTGCTCTCGAAGATCTACGGATCAAATCAAAGTTTCCAAGGTCCAATATGTCGATTCGTGAGGTAGGGTGAAGTGGGGAGAGAAAAAACCCGAGAGGGAGGAGAAAGAAGAGGAAGAACGCTCGGGCAAGAAGGTTGGGCCGGGGTTAAATGGCTAGGACTCTGGCGCCAAGCTCAGCGCCAAGATCTACGGCACCGAGCTCGGCGCCAGAGTGACTGGCGCCGAGCTCCCTGCCATGTCATCTACCGAGCCCAGAGCTCGGCGCCAGGGACGCTGGCGCCGAGACGTGTTAGCTCGGCACCAGCATCAATGGCGCCGAGCTAAGGGTCCATTTTCTGAATTCTTTCCGCCAGGGGTCTATTTGTGAGAAACTTTCAAAAAAAGGGTTAAAATGTAAAAAATTCGGCAGCAAATACGAGGCGGACGGCGAGGGATGGAATTGTACAAGCTTGTTTGGGAAGAGAAAGCAGATTAGCAGAACAGAGCAGCGGTAGTGCAACCACGCCTCTGCTCGTGGGTTGGACTCTAGTTTTGGCACTGGCCTCTTGTTTTGCAGAGGTTTGAAGTCAGGGTTTATTCTGTGCCTAGTGTTGAATACACAGGTGAATCTTGTCTGTAGCACACAGCACAATGTTGGATACGTAGGTCGTTGCACACATACATGCCTCTACTCATGTATTCTAGAGGGCCTGTTAGGATGGCAGCCTCCAAGGCAGTTGCCTGCCAGGCAAAAGATCCAGGCCACAGGCACACAAAATTGAAAGCTTGGTGTTGCTTCCTGGGCCAGGCAAGATTCTTCTACCACCATTCAAACAGGCCCTCTGTGCGTGAGCAGACCGCGCTTTTTGTTTTTGAGGCACATATTCTGCGACTGGTTGCACGCTCTGGTAGCACACGACCCATCTTCATCCTCGCGTTGCGCCTCCCTGCCACCCTTCCTCCGTCGCCCCCTCTGAAAGCTCTTGTTTGGTTTTGGTGAATTGATGAAACCCTAAGTGCTAACCTAGTTTATCAAATGATCATGAGATAGGTAGCACATTCCAAGTGGTGAAGCAAATGAAGATCATGACATGATGATGGTGTTGCCATGGTGATGATCAAGTGCTTGAACTTGAAACGAAGAAAGAGAAAAACAAAAGGCTTAAGGCAAAGGTATAAATGGTAGGAGCCATTTTGTTTTGGTGATCGAGACACTTAGTGAGTGTGATCACATTTAGGTTCGATAGCCGTACTATTAAGAGGGGTGAAACTCGTATCGGAATGCGGTTATCAAAGTGCCACTAGATGCTCTAACTCATTGCACATGCATTTAGGATCTAGTGGAGTGCTAACACCCTTGAAAATGTTTATGAAAATATGCTAACATATGTGCACAAGGTGATACACTTGGTGGTTGGCACATTTGAGCAAGGGTTAGGAACTTCACTGGTGGAGTGTCCGCCCGTAGAGTGCGGACAGTCTGACAGTGCCACCGGCGCCCTAGACAGAAAAGACAG